TGGCAGAATGACCCACAGCTGGGATATGGTGATATGTTGAGCTTAGAAAAGGGGGGAAACAACACACTAGTGTGATGTGCACTGAGCTACACCAGTTTCTGTCACTTCCCTCACGTGTCTGGTGTGTAAGTCTTTTTATCCCTTTGGTGTGCAGCAGTGGATAATCACTCACTATCTCTGATGTGTACTGCCTGCTTCCGGAGACCAGATCTGCTGGGTATGCTGGTTTTGTCCTGTCCAGTCTGGAGATGTAGATCAAGTAAAGCATGGGTCTCTGAAGACACAAGGATTGACCCAGGTATCCTTGTAGAACAGTTGAGTAGAAAGACTGAGTATCTTTGTTGTATCAACATAGAGATCTCCTTGCATGTAGCTTCTTCACATTGTTTTATACAGCCACTAGCGTGTAACTGCAGGATGCTGTGTTTGGCACTCTTCTGTTGTTCTGGTCATCAGTAATGTAGATATGTTCCTCCATATCTCAGCTGTGTGGATTGGCCAGTGGAGGATATAAACCTTTTATGCACAGTGAATTTATATTCATAAATGGGAATCAGAAATCTCAGCTGCTTTGATCCTTCTGTTGAGACTTTGGGGATGCTGGCTGCCTCACCAGGCTATTTTGAATTGTTGCCTTGGGGCAGGGATTTAATAGTTAGGTGGGGCAATACCTAAGCCAAGGTGCATAATGAATTACTTTGCAACTTGCCACTAATGTACACACAACAAATGGGGAAGAGACAAGCTCAAAAGAATGGAATCCACTGGGTGTGTCTGCATGTGCTATTATGGTAAAGCAATAAATTCCAGCACTTGTTGGGCCAGATGTTTCTCCTGGGTGCTGCATCTACATGTGTGCCCAGGATCACAACATGTTAAACTGGGTTGGAGCAGCCCTGGCTGTCAGTGGTTCCGGGGGATCACCTGTCAGCCTGGGGCTGCTCTGACCCTGCCCAATGTGCTGTGGAGGGGCTGGCTGAGGCACGATGGTGCTTCAGTGGGGGACTAGCCAGCAAGAAGCCCTGCACTGAAGCACCCTTTCGCCCTAGCCAAGTGCATCAGTGTCTACATGTATACTGCTGCAGAGTAAAAAACTCCGCAGTAGGATGGTACTTTTATTTACAAGTACTGCTACTAATAGGGCCACACTAGTAAACATACTAATAGGGCTGCATGTGTAGATGCGAGACATTTACTGTGGAGTTAATTAGTCTACTCCACACTAAACACCTTGTGTAGATGCACCCACTGAGTAGGCAACTACTTAAGCTAGTCAATAGGAAACAAAAAGAAGCAGAATGTGTCTTAAGCCACACCACTAGGAGGTAGGTAGCCCCTGAGGAGTTACAGCATGCCTACATAACACATGGCTGAGCTAGCTTGAGTAAAGCAGTATAACCCTATTTGACTGACACTTTACCCACAATAAAAATATAAAATTAAACCCCAAACAGAGCTAATAGCTTTTGGAGCACTGAACTAATGCAGCTATATCTTTTTTATTTATTATTGATTTTATTTATTAGATTTATATCTTGCCCTCCCTAGAAAAGCTCAGGGCAGCATTACAATAAAAAAAGCAAGATACATTACAAAAACATAAAATATTAAAAAGAGAATAGTATGTAACAAACAGCAAACTCCCCAAGCAGTGCCCCCAAACTTAACCCCCTCTTGTTAAAAGTCTTTCACAATAAAAAGGTCTTAAATTGCTTCCTGAACATATTTTGGTATCTGAGCTTGCTCATTCGGGCATATCCATAGACATCTGAAACAGGACTGAGGCACTTACATCTAAAATTTCTGTCCAAAAATCCCAGATCAAATATTATTTAATTTGTAAACTCTTAGAATAAGTAAGAGTAGAAGAGCAGGGTGCCAGCCTTAGGTGCTGTTTTAGAGGGGATGCAAGAAGAGTGGCTGCTGCCACTGCTGGCTTGATTGCCGCTGCTGCCAGGCCAGCCACTGCCACTGTACTGGCCACCATGGCACCCAGGGTGCAGAAATGGTTTGTTATGCTCCTGTCTAAGCTAGGTTTACCATACATTTGAGTTTTCCTGGACATATCCTCTTTTTGGGCCCTCCACTCTCCACCCAGGTGGTTTTTGAAATCTGAACCAATGTCTGGGATTTTGCTTTGCTCCACTGGCAGGAGTGGGGGAGGGTGATTTGAGGCAGTGGGCACAGATGTATCAGTATGCACGCACACATGGCCAACATGCAGCCAGGAAGGGTTGTGGAAGCAGCCTCGGCAGCTGGATACAAGTAAGCCTGTGGGGGGCAGGGGTTAGAGGGCCATGGCTTTAAACTGTTCAAGGGGCTGTGGAGGGTGTGTGGCAGTATATGTGTGACAGGGATGTGTGGAGGGGAGGGAGGGGGGGTGCCAGCACTGGGAGAAGAAGTCTGGGCACTGGGGCTGTGGCAGAGCAGAGGGAGTAGGGGGATGGTGCCTTCCCCTCCAGTAGGGGAAGGGGGCAGGGGGCACTTGGAGGGCAGTGGGGAGCTCTGTGGCTAGGCTAGTGGCACCAGGGTTGGTGCCCTTGCTTGCGAGGCCAGGCTGCCTGGGAGACACTGCTTGCAGAGGGGGCATTGCCAGGCTGTGGGGGTGCCGCAGGCATCCCTTCTTCCCTCCTGCCCATGTGAGGGCTGAATTCACTCTGCCACTACCCACACAAATTGCATGCTCTAACCCAGTGAAGACAGGAGTAGCTGGGGGCCTTCTCTAGCAGGGTTGGGGGGAGCAGGAGGCTGCAGATCAGGAGTGAGGGGCACCACTTGCCACTTGGGATGGCGGACTGTGGATTGGGACTGAGGGGCACCAGCATAGCTTGTGGGGGTAAAGGGGTCATGGTTTAGGAGTGAGGGTCAGCAGCAGGGTTGGGGGGCTATGGGTGTGGAGTGAGGTGTCCCCCTGACAGTTCTCCTCTTTTTTGGAAGTGGAAATTTGGTAAACCTAGTAAGCTCACTGGGCACAAAGTTGACCTTTGTGTTCTCTAGGATCCTACAGCACCTTCCCTGAGCATACCCAGAATCCCCCAAGTCTGATCAGATCATCACTGATCTCCTGCATATGGTCAATCAGAATCCAGGAACTAAGCATACCTTCACATAAGTCCCATGAGATGTCCAGTGCAGTAGTCATTCTCAGAGCATGTCACTCAGTTTTTCCAAGAACTCCACATCTTGTGGTTGAGCTTTACAAGGGACTACAACACTTTGTTTAAGCAATTTAAAATTGTTCTGAAACAATGGATGGAAAATCAAGATAATATATGGGAGCTGGAAAATATCTGAGCCAGACCATATTTTCTTTATAAAGACATTTAGTGTCTTATTTTCAGGCTAGAGTGTTACTGCTCCCTATTTACTACGATAACATATTTCGTTACATACATATATATATTTCTTAGCTACATTTATCAGCTTTTGACTCTTCTAAATCTTTATGTGGATATTTTCCATGCCATTCAAAAGCCTGACTCCAAAGTCACTGAAGACTTTGTCACATCTACACGTAATAAGACAGTGAAGGGTTTCTCCTGGCAGAATTTCATGGCTGCTTCTTGAATCTGGCTTCTTTATGACATTTCCTCCATAGGTATTTTCCCACGTCTTCCTGCCTTCTTGCTTTTCATGGGAGGAGAATTAAAAATTACCTGTGTAGATGGCAAGTCAAACCACCTAAACACTGATGGCTTAAAATTTCTGTTTCACTGCCTGACTGATAAAGTGATAATTAACCACAAAGGGTTGAAGGAATGAAGCCAATATTGCTCAGAAGCCAGGTTGCTGAGAAAGCATATTGCTGAAGGTGTTTAAAACTGTAGTGGAAAAATACTAGACGCTGCAAAGAATGTCTGCATTGGCATAGGTATATTGGGAGGCTAAACAGTCTTCTTCATCTCTTATCTGTATGATTTTACCACTGCACTCTGGAAAGGACTTCTAGAGCATTTTAACTCAGAAAGACAAAGAAGAATGTTGCTGGTCTGCATGAAGAGGTTAAAAAGGCTCAAAAAAGGCTGAAAAGTTGGCCATCAGCCAGTTTTCATTGGAATATATCTAGCCCTTGAACCACATAACTGCAATCCTCAGAATATTCAAGGAAAATGAAATAAACTGGTCCAGCTGAGTTAATCTCCTCCTGATTCCCAAAGGAAACTTGCTTCACCATGAAGAGGGGGATTAATTTTGCAGGTGTTGTTCAGATATACTCATCACTGCGAACAGCAAAATTACCCTTACGTGTAACAAGCGTATCAGACTTTGGGGAGTTTCCAGTGCAAAAAGATCATCATTCTAGATTTGTTTTTAAATACCTGCCTTTATCTTCAAAAATGCCATCAACTTCTCTGCTCCTTCAAAAACATTTGAACAGATGCAAAGCCAGCAGTATTTTTTTTCACGTACATCTCTACACATTTAAAGCATCTGTTGTTCGTAAAAGATAAATATATAAATAAATAAATGCGTTGGGATATCAAAGTTTCCAAATCTGTTCTATCATTTGAAGGAGATTGGAGATGAAAACAACTTGGCTGCCCCCACACCCTTGTAGTTATGGGAATAATATGTTTTCTTCCATCAATGTGTCCACTTTACATTATTCAGCACAAAGGTTTGTAAAATAAGAATCATGGGAATATCACAATATAAAGGAAAAAAGGTACAAATAACAGCTTCATAAACTGAGAAATGTACATAAATAAATCATGTAGATGGGGGCAGCTTGCTTAGCTGGCAAGAAAAAAAATATGGAAAATCTGCTTGTTAAACAATAACCACAGAGTGTGCTTTTATGATGTTTTTTCACCACAGTAATTCATATTAGAGATAGAAGCAGTTGCATGTTAAATAAAATCATTCAGCATTGTTCTTCTCGCATTACAAAGAGCTGACTTATGTTGTTTTCAGATGCCTCCCATTAGAAAGTAAATATTCTTCTGATGTTATACGTTTCACAAAATTTAATAAAGATGAACTGTAAATAAAGTCTCAGGGAGATTTCAGACAGTTTTATTAGCAGATTGTTGAAAAGAAAAAGAAAATTAAATACAATAACAGTAAACGTGGTTCTCACATTGAAACCAGGCTCAAATAACTAGGCTACCATAGAAAAATTTCCAATTCTTGCATTATGATGTAAAAACAGATTTTTGTACAGATTTTGTACAACAAAATTCGTAATAACCTTTTATCATTTTTAGAAAACTTTAAATATATAGATAAAAATAGACAATTTTCATAGGTCCTACATGAAGATGAGTATGTTCTGTTCCAAGGGCTTGCATAGAGCGCAAATGTGGTTATAATATAGAACAACTAGACATTAATATCTTTAAGATTACAAAAGCATATAAACAATAACATGAGCACAACTTTTCATCATCTATGCAAAAAAACCCAAAATCTGTATAACTAAAGAAGGGCAAAAATTGAAATTACAGCAACATTTCATGGATTGTAATATTTACACCATTTTAGTAAGATTCTCTCTCAACATCCAGTTTAAAAACTGTTTCCCCTTAATCCATAAGATTTCCATTTATGTACCAAGCCAACACTGAGGCATTCCCAAAGGTCTTCAAAATATATACTGTAAAACTATTAAACCTACTTACAGGTGACTCTATGCAAGGAGCAGAGCAATGGCAGATGCTACTACATGTTTCAGTTGTAGGCTTTTACTTCTCTTTCAGATATGAATGATTCAAAAGCTTGCCACAAATCCATCTAACTTTACAGTTGTTAACCCTTTAAAGACTGCATATGAAAAATGTGGAGTCCAGAATCTCTAAAGTGTTCAACTATGAAAGTTATGAAAGAATCATGATTAGAAAATAATGTTACTACAAAGTATTAGATAATAATATTTAATGAAAAATATTGCTCAATAGTTCTTTAAAAAAAAATTGCCTTGATGTGAACTTGTATATACAACTTTTCTATTGTTAAAAAAGGATTGTGGTGGAGTAAAGATGGGCTACACAAAAGAACTGTGTACCGATATTGCAAGGAAGACCTACAAACTATAGAAGCTCAGTGCTAGAGTTTACAAAACATTATCTTTTTTCTTTTTACTTAGACAAAATAATACTAATATCCAATCAGAACTATTTTTAAAGAAATATGTTTAAGTTAGGCATCTTAGACATTAAAGGTTCTGATATGTTTCCATGAAATAAATAATATTTATATGCATAAAACATTAAAGGTGAAAAAAGCATAATCACAAAACTTACAGTAAACAGCACTGATTCACAAAATCAGTCTTTAAAGGGGTAACCCAAAAGTATGCAAAGCAAAGAACATAATTCTTGTATGTAATAAGCACTGTGTTGCAGCTTACTTCCAGTTATCAGCACACAGGTGAAAACACATACTGTAACTTTCATAAAGACAGTGAAAGGAACACATAACCACCCTTCCCTAAGACAAGGCAGGGAAGGACAATAGACTTCAACTGTATCACTCAGCTCTACGTGGAATTGGACTGATACATCAAGTGTTTGTTAGGTTTTCTTTTTTTAGTAACATTGACGTAATATGACATTAACATATAAAAATATTTCTGGTGTTTGACTTGCTGCTCAGCCACAGTCCATTCTTAAAAGTGCACTAACAGGGCACTAAGCAGGGCTCAATATACAAATAAAAGTGGCTGATACAGAATTCTGACTTGTTACCAGATGCTTAACATCTCATTCAGTAATACTGTGACTCCAGGACAAATATTTACATGCCTGCATGCGTTAAAACTAGAAAGGCGTCTTTCTGACCAACAGGGTGACAAAACATATTATCTAAAATTTTCATTTTCCTAAACTCTAGTATTCTACTGCATACATAATACCTTCCGTGTGTGGTTGTGTTCATATACTGTACATGTGACCAACAGTTTGAATAAAGAAGCAAAGTCTTTTATTTCATAAACCCCTGCCAGTTTAGAATGAGAAATTATTACTTTTTATTTATTTTTCTTCTAGGAAAAGAGACTTTATGAACAGTAAAACAGTATTGTTTACATTCAGCATTTCTTTTCACTTTGACAAAATTTCATTTTGCTTATTGTGATCTAATGTCCACACATTGGTCTCTTGGAAAGTAGGTGAAAAAAATGTCTTTAGAAGAAAACCCACAATTCTCAAGTTTGAAAACTGAATGTAACTATTTTTTTTTCTTTTTCTTTTTTTTTTTTTTTGTAAGAATCCTCTCATGCCCTCTTACAGGTTTACTTCTGAGCAGTCTTGCTGGTTTAGGTGTGGCATAACAGTCTGCAAATATAGGGAAACACTGCTGGAAGGAACGCCTGATGTGCTCAAATACAGAATGATCAGAGGAGGAAAGAGTTTGCATCCCATTCAAAAAAAGAACACTAGGCCTTGTTCTGACCCATCTGTAACTGTGTATACACGGGGATCTAACAGCAGAGCTGCAGATTTTCACTGAAAGAAGAAGAGTGCTTCTTAGACATTTACAAACATTCTCTAGACCTCTGGATTGAGCCACAGGTGATAACCAATGGAGGACACTCTTGCAGAATGCTTTAAACTTTGAAGAATGTTAATACACACATTGAGGAAGTTGCCTTGAAAACACTTTTTTAACAGAACTTCCAAATATTGGATGTCTTACTGCAAAGTCCTTTACCATAGCACAGGTATCTCCAGCAGGAAAGATTCAGTACATGACAGTAGTTTTCAAATAAAGTCTTCCATCTAAAATAAGAAAAAAAAAATTCATTAAATAACCAGTCCTATACTCTATCACCAGGACAAGCAGTAAGTTTGTAAAATGGGTAACTGCAAAATTTCAGGTGGTAAAAAGCTACATGAAAAATGGTGGCATTGAGATGTTGGCCTGTCAGTGATGTTATTTTACCACCAAATGTTGAAAATTAATGCCATCAACAAAGACACGCAGACTGCAACACTTGAACACTGCAACAGTTTCTATAGCTCTAAATCACATGATAATGCTCTAAAGCTTTAGTATATGCTGCATTCATATTATTGCTTGAACAACAGAAAAATAGTTTGCGCTTCTGTGCATGTATTTTTACTGATATGTAAACTTAACTGAATACTGCTGAACACCAATTACTTCTTCCATGGTTGCAGAGCAAAAATCTCCTGCATGCAATCACAAACACTCGCATCACTAAAGGCATTGCTCATACCTTATGATTTAGCTCTGTTGTTAAATATACCATGTAATGTAACCATTGCACACATTTGTAGTTATTTATACATAACCCAGCATAAAAGATTTAAACAGCATCAGTGAATTATAGCCTTTTCCCCCTAAAAGTGCGATTAACTAAAGAATTACTATGTTAAAAATGTAAGCATGTCTCAATTTTTACTACCTAATTGAGAAACATATGTTTAAACCAGAGTGTGTATGTGAGAAATGTGGTGGGGGAAAAGACATGAAAAACAAATGATATAGCCACTGAATCAGTAATTCGGAAGTGGGCGGGAGCTTTGGGATTAATACTGCTTTATGCCCCAAATCTTTTTTAACTGGTTTCCAAGTATGAAACAATATGGATATACAATACAAAATATTTATATATAAAAAAGAGAAATAAACAAGCTCATAGGTTCATTCTCACTAAGCTGTCCTATCTGATAAAAAAGTGTTTATCTTCTGGGTCTAAATTACTGAAGTTATAGCACATTGTACTCCTGAATTGCCTACTAAGGGCTTCCAAGGACAAAATACCTATATTTGAATGTACAAATAGCACAGAAATTCTTCTGGTTCAACCTTAATGCATCAGTAAATATTTATAACTTTCTTTCTTTTGAATTCAGGCTAGTTAATCTATATTAACCTGTCATATTATTTAAAAAATCACATTGTGAAAAAAAAGAACAAGAATCCATTGGAATAGAGACATTTTAATAATCACTGAACTTTTTCAAACACTCCAACATCTGATCAAGCTTACAGCAGTGAAATGAACCTTCTATAACTATTGACAGAAACAGAGAAGAGCTTCGTTAGGGAGGCACCTTAAAGCACACGCAATCATAAGTGGTCACACACTGACCTTCCACATCCCACTGAGGAACTTCTGTCATTGCTACACAAGGATTCAGGACAGAATTAGCATGCATTTCTCTGTTCCTCAACAATTGTTTCAATCTATTTTCAATCTGCATTTCTCTCCAGTTCTACTCTCATTTTCCATCACTTGCTCTCTTTTTTAGTTCTCTGGGTATGCGCCCTTCTGCTTTTTTTCCTACCCTTTCACTCCTCCCTTCCCCTTCCTCTTCACAGATGATCCAAGCTTTTTTCAGTGGAGTAGACAACCCTCCCTGCCTGTAGATACTTACTTTCAGAACCATTTCAACCTTCTCTTTGCTCTTTATGGTCTTTGTGCATTGAAGAGAGATAAAAAGAAATTGAGTAGGCCTTAACTTAAAGGCTTTTTATTCTGCTGTGATGCATGAAGAACAGCCCAAATGCTTGTGAGAAGTCAGAGAGGGAAAAAAAAAGAAAGGTTATCTAAAAAATACTCTGGAAAGGATCAACTTTGGAGGCCTGATAAAAGGGATTGAACACCCTGCCCCTCTCCCCCCCCCCCCAACTATACTGTAAACACAGGCTAACTGGACCACCATTGATGATACTTATATTTAATTCTGCCACATATTGAACAAATACAATAGCCACTTACAATAGTAAACCTGTCTAGATACCTCTGCAGGGGAATTAATCCATAGTATATACCAGCACTTTGGCTAGTTTCAACGAGTATGCTAATACGGGCTAGGCATAAATTCTATACCTAAACATTAAGATAATCTAAAGCCACTAATTTATATTTTATGTGACTATGTCTCTACATACCTTTTAGAATAAAATGTTAGTTAAAAATATTCTCAGCTATTACAACAATAAAAAAAAATAGCTGTAGGATGCTGAATCCTTGAAACAGAAAGCACAAAAGGAATTTCCATGCAGGGAAGAGCAGTACCGGTATTAAAAAACAGCTTTATTTTGTACTGCCTATGAACCCAATCTGGTACTGAAGTCATTTTTTATTAATTGAATTTTTTATTTATGTAAATAGCACCAGGATCAGGTCCTATAGTTTCTGTTTTACACCTTCTTAACTTGTTTGATGAATTCTCCTAACAGATGGACAAATGTAGCAAGTATTAAATATATCAGCTGTAAGATATAACCCACCTGCCACAGCTGGCATAGGTATGGCATGTTTGCAATTAAGTCATACTTAGAGTTCAAAGGTTCCCAACAAATGCTAAATATTTTCTTTATTTTTTCAAGATTTACAACAATAAGAATATGTGATAAGATAAAAACAATGAACAACTCTTTCTTTGAAACTTACTAAATTGCATTTAGCTTTAAGAAATATTTCCAGACTCTTGTTCCTGTCTCAATATTTCTCTCAACTTAATTCTCCCTTTTCCAGTCTTCTGGTAAGTGATTGGAGCCTACCAATGTTGTTATCAAAAGTGCTCTGGGTCCTCTGTATGTGTTGCCAGTGTGTTCCCCTGTGAATACCACAGTTCTGAAGTTTCCTGCCCCCACTTATTGTGTTTACCCATATATTTTACGGTCCATTAGACTAATATATGCAGAGTTTACTTCAAGGCATACAAAGTTATATACTATCCATGCAGATATACTGTAACTACTTGAATCCAAGATGACTTCAAATTTAAGATCCCCTCCCCAATAATTAGATTCTATGCATGGAAAACGTATAAAATGTATTATCATTTCCCATGCATAGAATCTATTGCTGGGTGGTTGTCTTAAATTAATTCCCACCCCCCAATGCAGTAGGGCAAGTAATGGCAGAGGGGCAGGTCGCAGGAGGGTTAAGTGCTTTAGCCGTCCCCTTTGTGTTCTGCCACTTGTCTCCCACCACTTCCCCCCCTTATTCCCTGCTCTCTAGTGCCTGTGTTCCCTGGTGCCTGCCACTCCACAGTGCCTGACCCCCTGACTGCCCCCACTGTGATGGCCAGAACCAAAGAAATTAATAAGCAATAAATATGTGCTTCTTGGAGACATTTGGAACTTTTGTCTAATACGAAGCTTGTATTTTTGTAACTCGCAAATGTAACTTGTAACTGTTTGTGGAACTGACTAGGCCTCAAAGACAAAGCTATAGCTGTGAAATTAGCTGACCTAGTAGTTCTTTCTTGCTCAGAATTTAGCCTTGATGATAATAAAAACTGGATTCAACTGCCTTTCTTGAAATGTACTGGGTATCTCAAAAAAGCATAGTCAGAGAGTTTTGAAGGGGCTGGATTTAGGCGGGGTAATATTAATTTCAAACCTGAAGATGTTGTGTTGCAATTTGCTTATTGGATAAACTCAAGCTTGGGCAGTAACTTATTATAATGATTTCTAACACCTTTTAACTCCATAGGATAACAGCTATAAAGCACTATTATGAATGGCTATATAACTAAAAATTAGCATAATTAGAATATAAAAGAACACACATGTCATAGTAACCCTTGGGAAGAATGGAACAGAAAGGTCATTACTGTCCCATACCCCCATGGATCTCTCTTAATCCCTGTGAGAGCAAGAATCAGATCCTGACTGAGGGGCTTCCACTGGTTATCCTTTGGGCAGCCCAGTTCAGAGATGTCTAACTTTGCTGATTTAACTTCATGTGCATCTTCTAACCGAGGAACTATCAATAAGTTACTAACCAAGTGGAAACTCTTAGTTAATTTCTTTATTTGTTTTAGTATCACTGTCAATTTTAATCTGTATTGTTATGTTGTCTGTTTATTAGCTTAACCTTTTTATTAACTATTATATGTGCAAACTATCTTTTGTTGTCATAAGTAAAATTCATTCTTTTTTGTAAGTAAAATTTGTCATTTCTTTCCTTTCCAACATCACCTCCTCAATCCCGAACCAAAAAGCCCAGTGGCTAATAAAATTGCAGTGCTCAGTGAGTCTGCAACTAAATTAATATACTCACAGTGCCCAGCTGGCCTGTGACAACTGGCGTTATGAACAGGATCGAGGATGGAGAGTTTGGAGGGAAAGAATGGTGTAGAGGGGTCAGAAGGGTGGGCCCCACTGATTACTTTAATAGAAGAGGTTATGGGTATTAAGAATCAGGGTGGGATAAAGAGAGATTGAAACCTGCCTGGAGCAACCCTCCCACAGTTCCCTGTCAGTGGGCTGCGTTCACTGCCGTGCAGAAAGGCAAACCGAGGAAGGGATGTCTGTCTTGGCT